CTGCTGACATGCCAATATGTTGTTGTCAAAACTAACCGAGATTACCCTTAATCTATGTAGAATTTTATTTATTTATTGTTAATGTACAAACTGGATGCAGTACTGTAGTAAAAGTGCTGAGAATTCCATTCTGTGTCACAAGTACTGTTTTGGAATAAAGCAAAGTACTATTATTTCTTATATTATCCGGATCAACTAATCTAGATTTTACTACGTTTTTATGCTCGACTAGTGTGACTGACTAACCCCGTTCTACTACTTTCACTTATCTGTTTGACCTGACACTCATTGCAGGCAGAGTATTAGATAAACTAAATTGTTTTGTTTAATTGCCTCTACATGATTCTTTAACTGAAAAAGCCTGTATCTAATTGAGTTTGTGGACGGTTTGGATACCAGTCACTTTTATTCTCCACCGTAAGATTTCCGAGGTTCCTTTTTTGTATGGAATTACTACTGATGATTTGGATTCCTTATTGTTGGTGCTATCATTATTATTATTATTATTATTATTATTATACAAGTAAGGGACCTCGGAAAACTTACGGAGGAGAATTCTCGACAAGGCAGGAATAAAAGCGGCTGGCATTCCACCCTCCCCCACAAACTCAATTAGAAACAAGCTTTGTTGGTTAAAGAATCAATCCTGTGGAGCCTTAAAAACCAGACAACTTAGTTTATCTAATACCCTGCTGGAATGATTGTCAGGTCAAATACATAGGTCAAAGTAGTAGAACGGGGTAAGTCAGTCAGATTAGCGGAGCATCAATACCTAGTAAAATCTAGATTGTTTGACCCGGATAAGATAAGAAATCTGAAGAATAGTTCACCGAAAACACTCACTACATGCAATTACATACAACCATACAATAGGCTGGATGGAGTAGGATGAGTTTTAAAATTTAATGTAACAGCTGGGTGGAGGGAGAGATTGATAACAGAGGCTTTATTTATCTAAACAACTGCAAATACGTGTAATACAAATGATTCAACACCTGTCCAGTCAGGTGTTTTGTGCTAGATTAGCATCAGTTGGTGTGTCACGACTCCCTGATTGGGGTCCACGAGATAGCTCAAATCGATGGCTCGAAACATTGTCGGATATGGCCAAGAATCGTAATCAATGGCGAACGTGTTGCAATTTCCCTCTTTCTTCCCTTCCCGATGATAGTTAACGAATACTTTTGTGCTAAGTGACTTCAGCGACTCAGGGATTGACTTGCTACCAGGGAATAATCTCGTTGACTTGGAATATGCAGACGATATAGTCCTTCTAGGCGAAGACGCTGACAAAATGCAGTCTTCTAAACACCTTGAGCTGCAATCTACGATTGACATGTTTGGCATGCGATTCGCTCCCGCCAAATGCAAGATGATGTTACAGGACTGGACTACAGCGACTGCTAGATTAGAAATAGGGAGTCAAGTGGTAAAGCGTGTTGACCACTTCACTTATTTGGTAAGTATCATCAGCCAGTGCCAACGAGTTGAACTCTGACGAAATCTCATCACAGATAAAACACAAGGCTCGTTTCGCATTTGCCAGTTTACGCTGACTCTGGCGTAGACGAGATGTTCGACTATCGATCAAAGGGCGGATGTACTGCTCATCAGTCCGCTCCGTCCTCCTTTATGGCTGTGACACCTGGCCGCTGAGAGTGGAAGACATGAAAAGACTAGCTGTCTTTGATCATAAGTGCCTGCGCTCTATCTCCCGTGTGAAGTCGTATAATAAGGTGAGCAACATTGAAGTTAGGCGTCGAGTTCTAGGTAAACTGGGGAAATCAATCGACGAAATTGAGAAGTTACATCGACTGAGATAGTTAGGACATGTGTTACGTATACCTAGTCATCGCCTTCCTCGACGGGCAATGTTAGCTGATATAGGGTCAGGCTGGAAAAGAGCTAGCGGCGGTCAATCCAAAACATGGCACCAGTCAATGAAATCCACAACAGTTGGTCTAAGCCACGTAGGGAGGTGTAGACTTCCTGACTGGTTGGGGTCCTCGAGACGGTAAAAATCAATGGTTGGAAACTATTGGTGACATGGCTCAAAATCGTTCTCAATGTCTGGCGCACATGCATCATCCACTCCATGTGACTTACAATACCCAATGAAACTGTTTTGTTCTTCGTTATTACTCCTCCTTTGTCTCACACCTCTGTTTACTGTCTCTATTATGCATTTCTTCAACTTTCTTCTGTTGCTTTGTGTGGTACATGGATGGAGTGTGGCGACTTGAACTGGTGCATATCGGTGCAAAGTTCTATGTCGAAAACAGACAGACAGACAGAACTTGTTAAGCATGACTGTTTTCGTTCCAGATGAAGTTCTTTATCCGTTCTCTACTTGTATTTTTGCTTTTGATCTATGTTGTTTTATTATTATTATTGTGTAGCGCATCCTTCTTGGTGCCACATTGTACCAAGTTCTTTTATGTGTTTAAATAAATATGTCCAATTATCCAGTGCACTGACGAGCAACAAAAACAGGAGCTGAATGCAAGCTACAATACACTGAACAAAAGAGTGAAGAGGAGTGCCAGGGAAGACAAAAGAAAATATTATGAAACCATGGCAAACGAAGCAGAACAAGCTGCAGGCAAAGGAGACCTCGCCACACTCTACCAAACAACTAGTTACCTTTCGGGCAAACGTTCGACACAGATTAAGCCAATAAAGGACGACAATGGAAAGTCAATCACCAAAGAGGTGGAACAGAGAAAGCACTGGGCTGAACACTTCAAAAGACTTCTAAATCGTCCGCCACCTACAACGCGCCCAACAATACCAACAACGGAAGCAGAACTACCAGTGAACACTGACGCCCCGACGAAATCAGAAGTCCTGAATGCAATCAAGATGCTTAAAGCTGGGAAAACACCGGGACCAGATGGAATCCCAGCAGAAGCTTTGAAAATAGACCCAGAGACAACAGCGGACTTGATGACGCCACTGCTGGAGGTGTGGAAAGAGGGCAAAGTACCCGAGGATTGGAAGAACGGATACTTATTCAAACTTCCAAAGAAAGGAGACTTAAGTCAATGTAAAAACTGGCGTGGAATTATGCTTCTGTCCATTCCAAGCAAGATACTAAGTCGCATCATCCTGGAGAGAATCAAACAAGCCCTAGATGAAAAACTTCGACCGGAACAAGCTGGATTCAGGAGAAACAAATCATGTATTGATCAAATCGCCACTCTACGGATCATCATTGAACAAAGCTTGGAATGGCAGTCACCTCTCTTACTCAACTTCATCGACTTTGAAAAGGCCTTCGACAGCGTCGATCGAGAGGTCATTTGGAAACTACTTCGCTATTACGGGGTCCCATCGACAATTATACATCTCATCCAACAGTTATACGACAATGCTGCATGCCAAGTAATCCACAACGGGAAACTTACGGAAGCCTTCGAAGTGAGGACGGGAGTGAGGCAAGGCTGTCTACTATCACCAATGATCTTCCTGATTGCAATTGATTGGATAATGCGACAGACAACGGCAACCAACGAGGGAACAGGCATAAAATGGACTGACACAAAAGACTTGGAGGATCTGGATTTCGCCGATGATATATGTCTGATTTCCCATAAACTGGAAGATATGCAAGTGAAAAGTAACAAGTTGGCAGAAGAAGCATCAAAGATAGGACTTCACGTGAACATAGAAAAAACAGAGATGATGAAGATTCCTAGCCAACATCAACAGCAACAACAACAACAGACAACAATCAGCATAAGTGGGAAGAACCTGAAAGAAACAACCTCCTTCACCTACCTGGGAAGCATCGTCTCAACTACAGGCGGAACTGACGAGGACATCAAAGCCAGAATCGGAAAAGCAAGACAAGCTTTCATTACTCTCAAATCTGTGTGGAGGTCAACAGCACTCAGCATCAAAAATAAGATCCGGATTTTCAACTCCAATGTGAAGTCAGTGCTACTATACGGATCAGAGACTTGGCGAGTCATAAAGAGCATCTCAAACAAACTCCAAACCTTCATTAACAGCTGTCTCCGCTCAATACTCAAGATCAGATGGCCAGAAAAGATCAGCAACAGGGATCTCTGGGAGCGAACCAATCAGGAACCGATTGTGAAACAAATAGGCAGAAAGAAATGGAGATGGATTGGCCATACGCTGAGGAAACCATCAAGTGACATCACTAGACAAGCCCTCGAGTGGAACCCGAAAGGGAGGCGGCGAGTTGGTCGTCCAAGGGTGACTTGGAGGAGATCATGCGAGGAGGAGATGAAAGCATGTGGACAGACCTGGAGCAGGGTGAAAAAGTTGTCAGAAAACCGAAGGCAATGGAGGTGCGCAGCTGAAGCCCTATGTTCCTCTAGGAACTAAAGGATACAATAATAATAATAATCAGGAATGTGGAAAATTCTACTACCCCTACGACGACAAGTAGAAAAGAACAAAGAAAACTATAAAACTCAAGTTCCAAAGTCGTGTGATTATAATTGATGATATGATTATGAACAATAATAAATTGTGTTGGAAACTGAGTCATCCAGTAAATAGTAATACTGTTTCACTGTGATACTGTGATACATCTAATAAACAAACTAATGTGTCATGCTCTCTCCACGTTAGATTTCTTTCCACTTCAAACCCCTGTTCATGATGGTTCTTTCGATTCTCCTTCTTTTTCTCTCTTCCGTCTTCCTGTGGGTGTGTGCGTGTGTTACAATGGGGGTGTGGCAACTCGAACAACTGCACTTCTGTGCACAGCTGAAACCAGTCAGTCAGTCAATCAATCACTCACCCACTCAATCAACCAATCAGAGAAAATTAAATAAATAAAACAGAAAGTACACAATAGAAAGCATTATATTTAAATTAAATATAAATCAATAAATGAAAAAGAGACAGTTGACTATATATACAAACAATAGGATAGGGACCATACACACAAAAGTATTTACAATTTATCCAATGTCCAAAAATTTGTATCAGCACTCAACGATCGACGGCATGAATGTTTATTACTATACGATGCTTTGTGACCAGATCGAGTATAGCTATTTGAGGTAGTTGTAATAGCATCAGTATCTCTGAGTACCTTAGATCGTAAAGATAATTGTTGTTGACAGTCAATATACTGTTTCACTAATTCATGATAGGCTTCATCTTTACGCGTGTAAGCTTTATCCAGTCGATCCAATTCTTCCACTTCTTGTTTTAATTTACGACGTGAATCTTCCAGTTCTTGGCTAAAATTAAGAATAACAATAATAATGATGATAATATTAAAGAGTTAGTTTGCAGGGATCTGATTTCTACGAGTTCGCCTTATAGCCAAAAGGTCCTGGGTTCGAACCCTGGCGATGGGTGCGTACTACTGAAGATTCCCAAACTAGGCTGACGAAACAGCTGTCCACTACTCCCAATTGGTTTTCCATTGGTTCTCTAACTGATGTCAGCAGCTCATGATGAAATCCTCCATCCAATCTGATCTCTGTTTCAAGTTTCGATCATGGATTGATATCAGTTAGAAAATTGTTGAAAAACCACCAGGGAGTACAGGACAGTTGTTTCGCCCTAGTGCTCGGGACCCATTAGGGTGCAAACACACATAACATTTCAGTCACAAGACAAGCTCACTGATCATTCAGCCACTGGGACTCAATCCAAAGGTCAATGTATAATTCCAGCTTCTAGCAATTCGTCATTTCAGAGAGATCATTAGTCAAAATCAGTAGGGTCAACCATGTCGGATGTGAAGATAAATGCACACCGGTGCCATTCACTGGTGGTGGTGCTTAAATCATGAACTTACACACGTTAGAATTCATGGGGGGCTGGTCATTGGATTATTTGTTTGTTTATTTATTTAAACGCATACAAACTTGGTACAATATGGCACCAAGAAGGATGCGCCACACAATAATAATAAGACAAAATAGATCAAAAGAAAAAAAGAAAGAAGAGAAATATATATATATAAGTAGAGAACGGATAAAGAACTTCATCTGGAAGGAAAAAACAGTCATGCTTAACAAGTTCAAACAGTATTCGTCAACTATCATCGAGAAGGGAAGAAAGAAGGAAATTGCAACACGTGTAATAGCACGCGATAAGTTTCATTGATTGTTTGTTGCTTTATTCAATTCATTGTGTGAGGGCTGAGATACTGCCCGGATGCCCAGACCGAAGCAGGTGGTTTTCTTAAGCGATCACCCCCACCCAGCCGAGCCTTTGATTTGGAGTCTAATCCGCAAGGCAGTGGAGCAGCGTCAGGAGCTGCACTCCCATGGTTGCCGGTGACCCATATGGGTTCATACGCCATTTAATCCGATTGGATACTGGAACCCATGTACCTCATGGTAACTGCTTTTAGTTTAACCGCTATCCAAACAACTTTCCTGACATGGTAGGACCTGCAGGGACAAAGACCCAGTCAGTATTCAAGCCCGACCACCACCACATGGTAGCGGTTATCGGCCGGCCATTGGATTCCATCCCATGGTAACTGAATGGTATAAACGAGCTCTCCTCACAACCTGGACACCCTGGGTTCGAACCCCGGTCGGTGGGTGGTACGCATTGATGAAGAGTCCCAAAGCTGGACGAAACAGTTGTCCAGTAATCTCAAGTTTTCAATGGTTCACTAACTGGTATCAATCTATGGTCAAAACTTGAAATAACAATAATAAGATTGGTAGTGTTAAGTCTAAAAGAGTAAGATGATTACGCCATGGTGGCAATCTGATCTCAGAGTTATAATGCAGATGAAACGGGCTATGCGAGCAGTAGAAGGTTTCTTTCAAACTGTCAAGAAGCCAAGTATGTTGGCTTTATATTGTAAAAATGACAGTCATCGCCTTCCTCGATAACGGGCAATATTTGCAGACATAGGGTCAGGCTGGAAAAAAGCTAGCGGCGGTCGTACCAAACCATGGCTTTATCAGTCAATGAAATCCACAACAGTTAGTTTAAGCCAGTCACGTCTGTCTGTCCGTCTGTCTGTTTTCGACATAGAACTTTGCACCGATATGCACCAGTTCAAGTCGCCACACTCCATCCATGTACCACACAAAGCAACAGAAGAAAGTTGAAGAAATGCATAATAGAGACAGTAAACAGAGGTGTGAGACAAAGGAGGAGTAATAACGAAGAACAAAACAGTTTCATTGGGTATTGTAAGTCACATGGAGTGGATGATGCATGTGCGCCAGACATTGAGAACGATTTTGAGCCATGTCACCAATAGTTTCCAACCATTGATTTTTACCGTCTCGAGGACCCCAACCAGTCAGGAAGTCTACACCTCCCTACGTGGCTTAGACCAACTGTTGTGGATTTCATTGACTGGTGCCATGTTTTGGATTGACCGCCGCTAGCTCTTTTCCAGCCTGACCCTATATCAGCTAACATTGCCCGTCGAGGAAGGCGATGACTAGGTATGCGTAACACATGTCCTAACTATCTCAGTCGATGTAACTTCTCAATTTCGTCGATTGATTTCCCCAGTTTACCTAGAACTCGACGCCTAACTTCAATGTTGCTCACCTTATTATACGACTTCACACGGGAGATAGAGCGCAGGCACTTATGATCAAAGACAGCTAATGTTTTCACGTAGGGAGGTATTCGGTTCGATCTCCGATAGGGTCATGGAGTCAAACTATTAAAGAGTCGCGAAATACGACGAAACAACTGTCCAGTGCTTTCAGTTGCGTTTTTAATGACTTCTCTAAATGACGTTGGTTTTTGACGAAAATCAAATCCAACAGGTATTGAAGACTTTTGTCAACAGATGGCTTTGCTGGCTCCATATGGAAGATGAAATGGACAGAAAGAATTAGGAACATGAAACTCTGGGGACGAGCCAATCAAGAACTTATAGTTCAACAAATATGACGACGAAAATGGAGATGAGTAGGGTAAACTGTCGAATGATATCGCAAGCAATGCAGGCCATTGGTTGGATGGAAGGTGAATGGGAAGCGAAGAGTTGGACGTGTGTCCATGGGTGATATGGAGGAGATGAGAGACTATGGGCAATCGTAGGGCCAGCTTAAGAGGACGGTAGAGAGTGAGAGAAAGTACAGATGCACTGTCAGAGCTTTATGTTCTGCTTGGAACCCAAGCGAATAATAATATTAATATAAATAACATGGAATATTTAAGTCAGACAAAATTACAGTACTTGTAAATTATACCAATGGAAATAACACAAAAAATGTTTTTTTCAACTCAAATAAAGAACACTGATGAATTTAATAGATAGATAAGATGATTGGATAGAGGATAGCTGTTTCGTCCTAGTTTGGGACTCTTCAGCAGTACGCATCCACCGCCAGAGTTCGAACCCACAATCTTCTGGTTACTAGGGGAGCCCGTAGACCATTGAGCCGCTGGGACCCGATCCAGTTAGAATTCATGGGCCATTGGATCGAGTCCCAGTGGCTTGATGGTCTACGAGCTAGCTAGCCTTGTAACCAGAAGGTCCTGGGTTCGAACCCTGACTGTGGGTGGGTGAGTACTGGTGGACGGTCCCATATTAGGCTGGTGAAACAGCTGTCCAATACTCCCAGCTGGTTTTCCAATGGTTCTCTAACTGATGTCAGCAGCTCATGATGAAATCCTCCATCCAATCAAACAAAATCCCTACAAAATCAATACTTGAAGATACGACGATTGTCTTTTTAACAGAAACAAAAAACAAAGAAAAAGCAAAAGCAGACGTACTGAGTTCTCTGTAGAGTATCCACTTTTGCTGATGACTTAGAAGAGGTATCTTGAAGGGTATATTGTAGATTTTTAGCTTTTAATAGTAAAGCATGAGTTTGTTCATCTATAACCAGACGTGCTTGACGGCTTAATATTGGACATAATTCGAACCGATAATCTCGAAACAGACGAGAGGATAAGGTGTATATTCTACAAACAGCCTAGAAATGTGTAAACAATAATAATCGATAAAAGGAGGAGTTAACATCATATTGTATAAGCTAACAGTATAATGAAGCGTTAAGTTACATATACATAAACTAAATCTATTCGTAGCACTATTCTATCTCATCTTGTGGATACAGAACACACGACTGGTGTTAACGAGATGGCTTTCAAAGTCATTTACCACACACATACCAACTAATCCTAACTTCGTCTTAACAGTTCGATTCCTAAATATTGCTGAGGCTGGCTGTTGGGATCCTCATTAACAAGCCTAATTTGTGCGTTCAAAAGAAGCTCGTTCAAACATTATCCTTACCTTGACCATCTAGGTTTGGATGATCCTCAATTTTTGTGGAAATCTCCCTGATTTTAGTTGATATTCTATTTGATATTATCATATCTTAATTATTATTATAATTTATGCATCTTTAATGAACTGTAATTCCATTGATCTTACTTAACAAATCGATATTATTTAAAACAGACACTAATATTGTTATTGACTACTATTCTAGAATATTCTGTGTATATAAACATGCATGTATAATTGTAGAGCAAGAAGAGGAAATTATCAAAAAGGACATTCTTTGCTCAATTATTTTGTGTTTTATAATATAAACGTATCAAAAATTCTAACATTTAGGCATAAAGAAGTACAAGAACTCTTTTCTGTGGAGTATTTATTACGTGTATGGGTTTTAAAATACATAGAAAGATCACTATCTTGAGGATGGAACTCATGCCATACAAACTCAAGAAATCGGTAAAGCAATTAGCTGACCTTCATCCAATTTTGTAAAGTGCAAAATTTAATTTTAATCAATACAAAAGTAGTCAGTCTTTTTTAAATTATACTTTTGAGTAATAAAATGTCATTAGAAGACGGAGACTGTCTGAAAAATGTGATGTATTAGCGCTATACATTTCGAACAATCTGATCACACATTTACTTGTCAAGTCAATATATATAGAAAGGTTAAATTAAACAAAGTGAGAGAAAACGGAATTAAGAATAATTAACACAAACGTTTGGTAATCCAATCAATAAGGATTACCAAGGTAGGTTAAGAGTAATAACAAACTGTTTTTGAATATTAGAACAAGACATATTAGCGAACAATATTGTTTTCAATTAGATTCTCAGTTTGAAAATTTGTATGATCAGTTGAGCTCTCTAACTCCTTCCTCGACAGATGACCAAAGTTGGCTGAAAGTTAAATTTGTTGATGTTGCACACCAATTCCGTAATTCAAGTCGGAAACAGAGAAGCATTTTAACACCAACCCATTTTAAAGCCCTAAAGGAATTACGTAACAGATCCGATATAGTTATTCTGAAACCTGACAAAGGATCTGGTGTAGTTGTAATGGACAGAAATGATTATAAAACAAAAATGTTATCCATTCTTAATGACGAAAATAAATTCATAGCCGATGTTCCTTCGGATGATATCAGAAAATTAGAAGGAAAAGTAAATTCTCATTTAGTAAAACTTCGCGGCATGAACGTTATCGATAAACAGGAGTTTAACTCCTTGAAACCCATGGGATCTGATTTTCCAAACCTCTATGGACTACCTAAAATTCATAAGGTTGACAATCCATTACGTCCAATTCTTTCAATGTGTAACTCTCCTACACATAAACTAGCAAAATGGTTAGCTGATATTTTAAGCCCAGTACGGAATGAATTATGTAAGTTTACTTTGAAAGATACATTTGAACTTGTTGACTGTCTTGTAGATATGAACATAAAAGATAGGAAAATGTATTCATTTGATGTTAATTCTTTGTTTACTAATGTACCATTGATTAAGACTGTTGATATTCTTTGTGACTATATTTCTTCTAGTTGTTTTTCATTCCCTTTCCCTTTAACTTATTTGAAAGATTTATTATTATTATGTACTGACAACGTCCATTTCACGTTTGAAGGCGAACATTTTCGACAAGTGGATGGCGTTGCTATGGGGAGTCCATTAGGACCTTTGTTAGCGGACGTGTATATGTCTTATGTTGAAAACTTATCCCTTGATTTAATTTCAAAATTGCCCTTTTATAGGAGATATGTAGATGATATCATTTTGATATGTGACGATCATGAAGATGCGAGTCGCCTATTAGACAGACTTAACTCTGTACAAAATCATATCAGTCTTACATGTGAGGAAGAAAGTCGCAACCAGCTAGCATTTTTAGACATACTTCTGAGTCGAAGAGATGATGGCTCAATAAGACGGTCTATCTACAGAAAGCCCACTTGGACAGGGCAATACCTTAATTTTCACAGCTTCTGTCCATTACAGTATAAGAGGGGCTTGGTGAAGTGCCTATTCAAGAGGATTCAGCGTATTTGCACGGCTGATGTTATGGACAGAGAAAACGAAATATTAATGGATACTCTTGTTAAAAACGGATATCCTTTGAAATTTTTAAACAGGTGTAGAAGTCAACTAGCCTCTAAACCTACAATCCATACCGTCCCTAAGAAAAAGGTTTTTATCAAATTACCATATAACGGGGAAATAAACAGTAGGATTGTGAGACAAAGGTTGAATTCAATCATCCGTAGGACCTACTATGCTGCCCAGCTTGTAATTGTGGAAAAAGCCAAAAATATGCTTCACTGTAAACCCCAAAAGTGCACAAGTGATTATATCACATCCCATACAATTTACCAATTTTCGTGTGTGTGTGGACATACATACATAGGGAGGAGTAATCGCGCTTTGCACGTGAGGGTGGGAGAGCATATCCCAAAATGGTTAGAAAAACAGATGAATTGTGACAAGCTAATAGATGCAGGTGGCAGACTACCAAATTCGTCTATAGCTAAACATCTAATCGAGATGAACCATAAGATTGATGTTAACTCAGCCTTTAAGGTCATCTATAAAAACGGTCAAGGGCGTTTATTGAAATACGCAGAGGCTATAGCTATTCATAGACTTAAGCCCCCCTTGTGTATTCAAAAACAGTTTGTCATTACTCTTAACCTACCTTGGTAATCCTTATTTGATTGGATTACCAAACGTTTGTGTTAATTATTCTTAATTCCGTTTTCTCTCACTTTGTTTAATTTAACCTTTCTATATATATTGACTTGACAAGTAAATGTGTGATCAGATTGTTCGAAATGTATAGCGCTAATACATCACATTTTTCAGACAGTCTCCGTCTTCTAATAACGCTATCAAAATTTATAAAAGGGACTAATTGTTTTAAATAAAATGTCACTTTAAAAAAATCTATTTACACACGGGTGGATTCACCTTTTTCGTCGATGATAGATGTGTTAGGCGATATATAATTAGGTTGTATAAGCGCAAAGCGTAGTCAAATCAGCAGGTCAGGCGTGAGGATAATTAATCGTCAACGATGACATATTCACTAGCGGTCACGCTATATCGTGAATTAGAATTCATGAACTAGCCATTGGAGAGGGAGAGTCCCAGTGGCTTGATGGTCTACGAGCTAGCTCGCCTCGTAACCTACCGCTACAGGGACCTGGGTTCAAAACCTGGCAGTGAGTGGATCCGCACTGCTGAGGAGTCCCAAACTAAGGTGGTGAAATAGCTGTCCAGTACTCCCTGCAGATTTTCCAATAGTTCTCCAACCAATGTCAGCGCTCATGATGAAATCCTGTAACCAATCAATCGAATCCCTACAAACCAATACTTGAATATCATAACCTGTAATTGATCCATGCAGTTTATGAATGTTGGTTCGAGCCAATCATATAGGGAGGTGTAGACCGCTTACTTGAAGGGATTTTTCGAAACGCAGAGAACCAATAGCTTGAGACTGTTGGTGATATGGATCAAAATCGATGTTCACTCTTTTTAGTCTCCGAGATTCGTTAAATCAACTTGTTTCTCTTTGTAAACATTTTTTTTCTTTCGTTCATCTATGACCATTACCATGTTGTGGTTTTTTGTTTTGAATTATTCTCTTTTCTAATATTTGTGGGCTATGTGGATTGTGACAACTTGAACGGCTACGCTTCTGTACAAAGTTCTACACTAAAACTCCGTCAGTCAATCAGACTTGAAAGTATCCTAAGAGTTGACAACCTTATGAAATTTCATTCATTGGAAACAAACTACTTTGGCTAATTGGTGGATGGTGACTAGCAGTGGAATCCAGAATCCGCATTTCGGCTGTCCTATTTGGCACTCGGTAAGTGGATGTATCTGCATTTCCCAGTGAGTGATGATTTTCCCACCGAATTCAGGTACATCTAGATGACGAGTACCAAATAGGACGAAATGCGCATCCTGGATTCCATTGCTAGTCACCATTTACCAACTAACTTCTAATTACATGCTTAGATATCGTCGAAGCATCTGCACAAGAAGCCGACAAGGAGTCAACCTGAGACCGAACACTACGGTCCAATCAGTCTACGGGAAAATCTAAAAATTCAATTAAACTACTTAGGCGTTTAAATCTTGGGGTAGTAGACCTGATTTCAAACTCTGATCGATTTCTTATAGTTTATATTCACAGTGATCAGAAAGTGTGGAAATTCCACACGCAGAACTTCACTGCTTAATAAAATCTTGCCTTTTGTACAACAGGACTGATAAGTAAATCTGTAACCACATAAGAATAGAGTAAGCAGTGACGGCCAAAAATGCAAAAGTGAATGGAGATAAACAAATAGTGAGTGTAGAACACAACAGTCGTCAGGATGTTACACATATCTAGGCGGCGAGTGATACGATCTATGATCACATAGGTGGCCAGAAAATATACCAATGAACTTCCAAAGATTTTAGACAGAAACTAGACAGTATTTAGTCGGGCTTAAACTACTTTCTTAAGCATTTGTAGCGAAACAATCCCGCCACCTTAATAATAAGATGGACCCAGTAGCCAAAAAGTAGCCGAAAGCTAACATTCCACACTGTAGACACTACACCTGAAACCCAGTGGGAAGGGTGATTGACATTAATTCTAGGATCAACTATTAGTGGTGATCCCTGAGAGAAAACAACTGGTGAGTACTACTCAGCCAGCATTTGATCCATGTATTGCATGCCTCTACGTATTCAATATAGTCTTGAAAAGTAACAGCTTCTAGGCAGTAGGAAAAGAATATCATTATTATTATAGTATCGTATTTAAGCACCAATCCTCTATAACCCAAAGAATGATTTAAATGATTATGTATCAATGTTTACAACTCTACACAAATATGTGTCATGCAATAACTGATGCTCAAAATTATATATACTTCTGTAAAACGCGCTTGCGATTTTCTAAGTTGCAAAGAAAGCTGCCTCTTCTTTTCTTGGATCTCGTCAATTGAAGTCAGACTATCAAACTTCAACACATCTGAAAGTAAAGTGTTATGGGAAGATGTATCTAACCTTGGTTATTATTATCTGCGAACAATGCCAACCTGTCGTCTAACTTCTTTTCGATGTTTCTATTCAACAGTGGAATAATATCGTTGACAATCATATCCCTGTATATTTCTGAGTCGATGAGATTGATCTTTCTCATTCCTTCAATAAGATGACATTCAGACCATACTGCAGCAAGAATCTCATATGCCTGCCTTTCACGACTTGTTAACAAATTCAGTTCATATTCATAGGCTAAATCTATCATAACTTCCCTCAGTATTTCATATTGAACCAGTTTGAAGTAATACGGTAACTTATTGAACGAACGTGTTGTCTGTTAATGTTTACAAATAATTATACAATCATTGAATACCTCAACATTTAAACAACTTTTAGAGTTAGTTCCATGAAATTTAAAAATTCCAAAGTCTACAGGAAATGGATTAGTCGACATTGAAGAATCAGCTGTAAAGGGTACAAGCGAAAAGTGAAAGTTTCGATGAACACTACACAATAAGTGCTTAATAAAATTTCAGCAATAATTTTATAAAAAATACCAAACACTTTAAAGATTATTCTAGTCATTACAAGACAATTTTGAATAAATGCATACCAGAGGAATATCACTACTGTATACGTGCCATATATAAGTTAAACACGGTCATTGTTACTCTTCACAGACCAGGTTGAGTTAAATCATTATTATATGTTAAGTATAAAGAGAGTGGATGTTACTAGTAGTAATCAATATTGTTTATAACATCACTTACTAGCTCAATATCTATAATACAATTAAACACGTGTTTACACTTCTACATCAAGCTGTACACACAGGGAAAGCGTCATATTTCCATGAAACCTAAGTGACTAGATTCGGTATTCCATACTCCTAATCAGAGTGTATATTTGCGTCCCTAGTCGGGAATGACATGGGAAGTGGGTAAGATATGGCATGAACGGTAATTCTGATCGCAGATGTCAGAAAACAATGGGTAAAATGCAACATATATTACTTGCCTTTCCCGAATTTTCCACTTAAACCCATATTTTCACATCACTTTTCCCAATTTTACACAACTTTAATCCTACATTTCACACAATAATTATTGGGCGTGAAAGTATGTTTAAAAATGATCATCTGGGAGAATATACTCCCTCACTTGTCTCAGTAGGTAGGGGCTAATTATGGAATTAATGATAAGTTTTAGTAACAGGAAATTGACTCTAGATTTCTCAACATTCACCAGACATGTATAAAGGTTAAAACGATTGACAGTAGAATTTATATGGCCTATCAACTAGTTCAAATCTGTTCAAGCACCAGGCCACTCAAGATTACATGTAATTGAGAACCTCTGTAAAATTGTTAGTACCTTAGGAGACCAGCAAGCCGCACGAAAATAGATATAGGCAGTTTTTTATTGGCTGTTGGCTAGCTGGCTTTTTATGGGCCAAAAATTTAAATTAAAGCGCCAATCTCTTTATTTTTACACGGAAATTTACAGTCAGTAAAATTTCGGACTTACCTTACCATAATATAATGGCGTGTTAATTTTTTTGGTGTGAGTGTAGTGTGACAGTCACACGCTATTTGGATGCATTGTTGATGTTTAAAGTATATTGATATGCATGAGAATGTCCAGAAAGTGAATATAAATGAACAATAATTTTGATGCATTTATTTTAAGTCCGAAATAGGATGTATGCCATTTTGGTTACTAGGCGAATATAATTCAACTACCATTTCTATAAATTTAATGTGTCCTGAATTATTACATGTATAAATATGTATGTAGTAACTAATCTACTTTTTTAAGTCGTCAATTCAATGACATGTGGGATTTGTGCATACTAGGTCAGCATAAATCAAGTAAATTTCCCTTCAAACGGCTGAGAGCGACAGTTTAAAGCATACCTTGGTTGATTATTTCGTGATGAAAGCAATTTGGAGTCAGTTAAAAATTACACCGATCTGTGTCTTATTCATACGTTTTTCAGCTGAGGATTTCCGGTTCATAGCATATCCTGAATAACGGTGATTAATACGATTTATCACTTAGACCGCAGCACCACCACGCTTAAAACAATTCTAAATTTATTCTAACTTATTCCTCGATAATGCCTTTTTATGGTAACTGAAGAACATATTTACCCACTATGTTCAAAAAAAAAAAAAAAAATGCTTAAAAAGACAGCTGCGTGCTGAATCAAAACTTTCCGCTAAGGAGAAACGCTAGTCCATGCTTAATATGTCCTGTGAGGGCTGGAACAAAGTTGATAAGCAGACCCAGTAGGTTCGATTTAGTGCCACTCATGCTGAAAAATCAGCGCACAGTTTCACTGTCAAACAATGGCAAAACAGTAAGGGAGTCTACTGTTACTATAACTAGCATAGTCTATGTTACTATGTTAGCATAGTATACGTTAATTAGCTCAATGATTGCAGGTTTACAATAATCTTTGACTACCAACATAATAACTGTGAACTTCAGGCTAAAAATAAGCTAAATAGTAGCACCCAGTGACAAAAACTGACCTACACACTGCAAAATGAGCAAAACATCCAGAAAAACCTTTAAAATTCAATGGAAAACGAATTCACGAAAACATATAACTAGCCGGCGCAGGAACTCATCATGACCTAGAAACTGACTGTAGCCTCTTTCCAAACCGCACCAGTACCGTTCCATTCGAAACGCGCGGCATTTTTGCAGAGGGTAACCTTCAGTGACCGATATTTCGTACCGAAAATGTATAACACTATTAGAAGATGAGTATACCATCAGTGTGTCTGTTATCAGTTGAAAGCCAGATATATTGTGAGAGAATATAAATTAAACAAGGATAAAACACATGCGAAGTATGATTATGTGCTGTTTTTGTGTATTTTGGCGAACAAAAAGATTCAGATTTATTGGTTGAGGATAGAAGGCTTGGAGCCTATGTTAATCCTTTTCTAGTAGATTTCTGTGGTTGTCCAAACCCTTCTTGAACGAATCAGTTGAGGTTGCAGACACCACTTCTTCTGGGAGTCGGTTCCAAGAGTTTATGACTCGATGTGAGAACCAGTACTCAACAGCAATATGATTTCTCCTTGGCTTTTGAACTTTCCTGCTATGTCCTCTAAGGTGTTCCGACCTGGTGGGAAGGAAAAGAGAGAATAGGTCAGGTCCGTAGTCATTATTTAAAATTTTAAACATTGTGATTAAATCTCCTCTCTGCCTACGGTATGACAGTGAGAAGAGATTTAAACTGTCTAGTCTTTCCTTGTATGATAAGTTAGCTATGCCGTGAACCATACGTGTTGCCTTCCTTTGAACACTTTCTAGAATGTGTGAATCCCCTTTTAGACAAGGACTGGCGGCCTGGATGCAGTTTTCCAGTCTTGACCTAACCAGAGATGTATATAAGGAGGTGAACATATCTCTGGTAATTCTTGTAAAGGCTCTGCGAATCGCCCATAAGGACCTGAAACTACGTGCAGCCACCGCGCGACAGTGTGCTGTAGTTTTTAAGTCGTGGCTAACTATGACACCTAAGTCCAAGTGAGTCTGAACTGATGGAAGTGTTATTCCCTCTAATTCGTAGGGGCTTGTACTTGATTGTCCAATGCGCATGGTTGCACATTTTGCCACATTGATCGGGAGCATCCATTCAACAGACCACTCCGACAATTTGTTGAGGTCCTCTTGCAACGTGAACGTATCACTGTTGCCCTTCAGCTCCCTCCAAATTTTTAAGTCATCTGCGTATAGGACCATAGGGGAGTCGGTGAGCAGAGGTAACTCATTGATATACAGAATAAAAAGGAGAGGACCGAGAACCGTGCCTTGTGGCACTCCGCTACTTACTGCTGTCCAGGAGGAGAGTTTTGAGTTGATCCTAACCCTCTGCCTCCTATCTATGAGGAATTCCCTGAGCCAGTCTAGTAGTCTGCCTTTGATACCAAGACTTTCCAATTTCATGAGTAGTCTTTTGTGAGGTACTTTATCAAAGGCTTTACTGAAGTCTATGAAGACGACGTCAACGGGTCTTCTGTTGTCCTTTGATTTGACCCAGCTTTCTCTTGCAGTCAGGAGATTTGACAGGCATGAGAGGTTCCTCCGGAAGCCATGCTGTGCTCCAGATAACAAGCTGCTATTTTCCAGATAAGCCATGATGCTTTTCTTGATAATTCTTTCCAGTGTCTTGATTAAAGTGCTGGTGAGACTGATAGGCCTGTAATTTGAAGGGCTTTGTCTTGATCCTCCTTTGTGTATGGGGGTTACTATGGCGTCTTTCCAATCACGTGGCAACACTCCATTTAGGAGAGATAGCTTGAAGATCGTGGTCAAGGGGCCGGCTATGTGGGCTGATAGCTCCTTGAGAAGCCTTGGATGAAGATTATCAGGACCCATTGATTTCCCTGCATCTAGTTTCATTAAGCAGTTGAGCACGATGCCTTGGTCGATGTCAACGGAATCTATCCCATGTTCTTCTGATGCAGCCAGAGCTGATCCTATAGGCAGTGATGACTCCTGAGTGAAGACTTGGGAGAAGTAGTTTGCCATTGCTTCTGCTTTTTCTTGATCTTCTTCGATTGTATCTTTGTCAATAATCAGGTTTGGGACACCATTGGGTGTTTTATTCCTGAAATTCAAGTACGAGAAAATTTTCTTAGGTTGTGCCTTTGCATTTTGAGCCAGGTGTGTCTCGAACTTCATCCTTGATTGGCGGATTTCTGCGATAGCTTTATTTCTAGCAGTAGTATATAATTCCCTGGTCTCAGAAGTCTCAAGTGTTGCAAACAGGTTCCAACATTTGCGTTTACGTCTGAGTAACTTACGAATCTCCCGGTTTATCCAAGGGGGGAATGTTTCCGACCCTTTGGAACAGACCAAGGGATGAAAGGTACAGTTACTTGGGCGTAAAGTTGCTTAAATTGGTTCCATGCGGCTTCTACTTGGGACTCTGGATTGATGTACCAGTTTACTGAGTTGGCTGCTGAGACGATCGCATTTATGTCAGCTTTCCAAACGTTTGGTCGAGCTGGGGTTTTGGCCCTTGCTGCCGTTGCTGTGAACTTGAAAGTGAGCACAGCATGGTCACTTCTTCCTAACGGAGGAAGATGTTGTATGAGATCCACATCCTCACCGTGGGAGAACACTAGGTCCAGAGTTGACGAGGAGTGCTGTGAGTCATAGCGCGTGGGCTTAATGATATGTTGGACTAGGGCTAGCGATATACTAGATTCTAGCAGTTTATGAGCAAAGGAGTTGACTGAAGATGGAGTTGTTAGGCTCGACCAGTCAACTGTTGGGGCGTTGAAGTCGCCGACTACGAGACTTCGACATTTTGAAGTCCAGGAGCCTAGCTTCTCTATTAGGAAGTCGTCTGCACTGCAGTCAGGACTGCGGTACACAGCAATGAGGTCAATGTCTTGGCCTATGCATTTAAGTCTGCAGCGTAGAAGTTCGCACGACTCACTTTCGTGGGCGAGTGCTTCGATACTACGCACGGTTAAGCCTTTCTTGAGGTAGATGACTATGCCACCTCCTTTGCGGTTTAGTCGGTTCACCCTGTGCACTTCGAAGTTTGGCAGGTTAACTTCGTTGTCAGTGACATCGGGTGTGAGCCATGTCTCTGTGATAATAATTACATCCGGGTTTCCGGTTTCTATCATGTTTGCCAGCTCAGTCCTTTTATTTAACAGGCTGCGGGCGTTTGTGTAGCAGACTGTTAATTCAGATTGGTGCTTCCCCGGCCCACCCACAGAGGTTTCGGGATCATTAAACTGCGAACTCGGACAACCCGAAAACCCTTAATCTTAAGGTTCTTCTCACCGTTCCGGCGTCGCTCACTTAATTCTAGTGCCGCAGCCTGTCTTTTGACACGGTCTTCTGGGCTTAAGTCAGCGCGGACATATATCCCTGATCCTTTGAGAGTATGACAGTTGCTTAGAATAGCATCCCTCTCTTCTTTAGAGTTTAGTACGACTTTGAGGAGACGTACAGGCTTTTGGCCTATTCTGTATACACTGTGTATAGTAATGCCTGATACTGTTTGTGGCAGTAGCTTGTCTAAAAGGGGCTTGACCAAGTTAAGGTCACGTTCGAATCTGGCATTAGGATCGAGGGCCAGTGACTCTTCCACTTTGTGGAGAATGAGAGATCTGTCAGAGAGATCAGATTTGCTTGACGTGACTTTCTTGCTCTGCGGCGTAAGTGTGTTTTTATCCTTCTTGGGAGGTGTAGCCAATTTGTTATCCTTATCTCACTTTTTGCGAGAGACTACATTACGCCATTCATTGGCGTCCTCCTCGCTAATCGTAGTGGAATTTATCTGTCTGCTGCTCACCGGTGTGGATGAGGCTTGTTCCGCCAGTCACTGGGCGACCGGAACTGCAGGTTTTCGACCCCTGGTACGCCTCTTCTTCACGGCAGTCTTTCCATTACTGTCACTGGACGGCTTATCCAGTATCGTGAGGGCAGCCTGGGTGTCTGGAATGTGGTTGCTTATTTCAGTTTAAAATTGTAGGATTCATATTTTTGGATGTTTTTATTAATTTCCCCGTGGCTATAGATACGGATTCTCACTATTTTTAAGAAAACTTTAAATAAATGTTCACTGAACAGTTGGTCTTCTTTTCCTGGCGAGACAACTGTTTATGCGATTGGAAGATTAGGTAGCAAGTAGGATGTTCTGTGGATGAGAATCGTAGTCTCTATGTTCCAGATTGATATTGCCCGTCTAACTGTCGTAACCCTGTGTATTCAGCTTTTTCCTCATGGTGTATTATGATATCTAGAAATCATAAGCGCACTATCTTAGGTAGATTTATTTTTACTGGCAAAGTTAAACTTTAGACACCACTAACAACCAATCAGCAAACGACCTTGAACGGACCAATCACATTAAAGAGGCATATATGATGAATGGAAATGTATATTTATAGAAAAAAAAGCATAAAATAGATAATAAAAAAGTTACATTGGATATCTTTCTCGAACATGGGAGAGAAACATCTCCCAGTTTAGCATGGGACTGTCACTGGAGGAGTTACACCGTATCCTGTACATATACTCATCCAAATGACTATAAATGAGATCCTTTTGAGATCCATTTATAGCCCTTATCCTATTTTTCAACCTGCCCCAAAATCCTTCGATAGAATTTGTGTGTGTCCTCGTAATGGGATCCAAAAAATCACTTGAATGGTTGACTCTATGATGAATATATCCCAGAGATGACAGAGAATTGTAACCTTTCCACTCATCCGTGTGTATAATTGACGCCCGCTTATCAAGTCTGGTAATAATAGGTATAAGAGTAGTTGCTTTTCTATCTGCTATCCTTTCGACGATTCCTTTTCGGAGGGAGGTGTCATACAAACCTATAACCCAAATATTATTCGCTCGCCGGCGACCCCGGTTGTATTTCTTTTTTACCAGCACTGTTTCATCGACATGCACGATAACGTCTTCTCCACCAAGCAAACAACTGATTTTCTCCATGTTTCATGATGATATCACTGAACTGTTGAGACGAGGCTATTTTCCGTCTCGGCTGCTGCTGCTCTCACCGGCTGTTTCAGCACCCAGTAGTTGCAGTTATATAAAATCTGGGTCAGGCAGACATGCGACCTAGCGAAAAAAGTTCCTACAAAATATTAAGATAATCAGCTTACCCTCTCTGATACTAGCACGCTTCA